AATCCTACTGAATTCCAATAAAATTTTCTGTGAATAAGTTGATTTTTGTTCTACACTTGTAGCACTTAGGCACTAGAACATTACCGAATCCACATGATCCTGTTTTTTTTTGTAAGTTATTAAAAAAAACCGATTATTTGGAATTTATAAGATTATATCGTGTTTATAATTATCTTTTGAGCTCATATTCTTTGAAAACCGTTAAAATAAATAAATAATAATTATAGAATTTAAATAATAAACCAATGAAATTTCAGTTTAATTAGAAATTTTCTCATATTTTGTATTATTATAAAGGTGCATGTAAAATTTTAATAGGTATTTTAAAACGCGAGCCTACTGGTATGCAATAATTTTGTTGGTTTTTAAGAATTATAAAAATTTTATCTGCTCTTATTAGCTAGGCTTCATATAAAAATGTAAGAAATAAAACAGGGTTAATTTATGATTTTTTTTCAGTTTTAATACAAAACATTTAATTTTCAAAATTAATATTTTAAATTTAATTGAACTCATATTTTATTCAAATTTATCCTATAAATTCAACTTCATTTTATATAATTATGCATATACAATATTTCTTAAGATATTATGAATTGCAAAAACGAAAAATCAGAATCATAACGTAATTGCCTTCTTTATACCGTCTATAATTTAAAGAAAATAACAAAATTAATAAAAACCAATGAAGAATTTTGAAAATAAAAAATAATAACAATAACAGTAACAATAATAAGACGATAAATTGACTTTAAAACTCTATAAATTTTTTAAGCCGTAACAGACGACAACAAATCAACTACTAAAGAGAATAATTTCAACCATAAATATGACGACTATGTTGTTCTAAGGGAGGATATTAAAATTATAATTTTTTTTTTTTTATTTAATTATTTCGAAAAAATAAACGTCTGTTTTAACACTTGTGTTTGCAATTGGTTTTCTGAAAATATATGGAGAAAAAAAAAATAAAAAGTTTCATTCCCTTTAAAAAATTTTCTTTTCTTTTTATTTTTTGTTTTTTTTACACTAATAATAAGAGCCAATCCAATGAATTGAATTTGAGATAATATTGGTGACGATAACATATATATTTAAGGGATCATATATACATACATACAAATATTATAGATCCACATATACATATAATATGAAAATTAATAATATTTTTATTAATTAATTAAATGTTAATATTCATTTTTTCGCTGCAATATTCACCACCGCGCCGCGACTCATCGTACTATTGTGGAGTACAATTATTATAACAATAATCATTAGCACCATCCACCACCGCTACCATATCACCATCATCTCCATCATCTTTGTATTCTAACGGAATGATCTACATTTACATTATACATATATATACATATAAAAGTGATCCATTAATAACAGTAAAGTACAGGTAAAAAAAAATGTACAAATATGTGTATACGATGAACAATATTTAAAATAATAAGAACAAAAAAAGAAAAATAAAAAAAAAAAAAAATAATAATTAATAATAAAACGATCGTCCCAGTTTTGAACGCGATTTCAACTTGAAAGCATTAAAATATTTCTGACTTTAGTAAAATAATAATAAAAAAATAAGGGTTTTAAAGTAATTGGTTTCTTTTCGGGAAAAATACATAGAAAAGGTTTTTTAAAGCTGTGCAAAGGATTTAAGTTTTTGTTTTTTAAAAAGTATACCAAATCCAATAAGGAACAATTGCGAAAATTAATAAAGTAGAACAATAATTTTTAAGTGAGTGGTTAAAAAATTTTGTAAAATTGAATTTTGTAATGAAAATTTTTTTGAATTTTTTTATCTATTAAAATTCCGACGGAACACTTTTAAAAAAATTGGTCTTGTATTTTGCAAAATTTAAATATTTTATAAAAAAAATTGTGACCTATTAATTTAGTAAAATAATTTTAAAGTTTAATATTCAAATTTAATTAAGGGTTTTTAAATTTTAATTAAATTGATTAACTTTATTTGTGATATGCGGGGATTTTCGATAATTCAACTTCTAAGTTTGACCTTTATATAAAGCACGTTCGATAAATCCAAACTGCAAATCTGCAAGACAAAAAATTTAAAAAAATTGCAATTTTGATTAAAGTTCTATTGGAATTTTTAAGATTTTTTTTTATAATTACTTGTAACTACTGCAAAAATCTTAAAATTACAAAAAGAGTATAATAGTTTTCTATTGTAATAATGTTGAATATTGAAGAATTACTCGAGTGTATTACATTTCTGCAAAATAAAATATTCAGTGTCTGCAGATTTATGAGGGTTTTCAGTTCTAGAATAGTTTTAGCTTGTAGTACGTTCGAAAATTTACGCTACATACACTGAAAATATATAGATCGTTCGGAAATTACTGGCTGTAATAAAGTTCGTTCAGAAATTCAATCTGTAACAAAGAAATGTTAGAAATCTAGCGCAGACCTATAGTTTAAATTTTTTGTCTGCCGCATTAAATTCCTTTAAATTTTGTTAAAATTTCCTGATTTTGCTAATTGACTTTTGCTAAGATAAAATTGATTGGAATTCGAAAAATATTGTGGTACAATTTCATAAACAACATAATTTCTGTTATTTTCGAACGATTTATTATTTAGAAGTTTCAGAATTTGTAGACTGCATAAACAAAAAAAAACAGCTTAGCTAAAATTTTTGCATACTGTTTAACGCTGCAACTTAGAAATTTTAATTCTAATGTAGAACTTTGAGCGTGCATAACCAAAAACCCCCTATCATTTAGTGTATGTCTGCAGAATTATCGAAAATTTCCTATTGATATGAAGGTTTTATTAAAGGATTATTTAAATTAAGGATATTCCCGTAACTTTATCTAGTATCCTATCAGGCTCAAGTAATTGGAAAACAATTTTTTTTAAATTAGATGATAGATTGTTGAATGCTATTTAAAATTTTTAGCTTATAACTTATAACCAGGATATTTTTAATTACTTGATTTTTAAAAAATGTGAAATCATGATGTAAAATTTGAATACAAGTCGAGTTTTAATAATTTTTAAATATATTCACTAATAATTAATGGGCTTATAATAAAAATTAATTGGTTTAACTGGTGAATACAATTGATTTATGTAGCAGATCTTGTTATGATATTCGAAAAACAACACACACAATACTCAGTGCCGCGACTATACTTATAAGCTGAAACTTGTGCATGGGTCCTTAAGTTGAAATTTCAATTAGGAAAAACTACATATATATACATATATATATATACAAATTATATATATATATATTACTCAAAATGTTACTCAAAATGTAATGTGTTTATTATTTAATTAATAAATGGGACAAAATAATTTAGATCAGCAAGAAATTTTTGTCCGCTTTTGGGATGTATTAATGTTAGGTTGTCAAAAAGAACTTCAAAATTGAAACATTTTTATACGTGTATGCCACGTTTGAAAGTTTTCCACTTTTCGAAAGTACATTGTTGTACATAATGTTTTTTTAAGTGCAATTTAAATCACGTGAATCAATTTATTTACGATAAAATAGTGCTAACTTGTCACTGTTTCAGCTGTTTCGTTTAAGGAAATACAAATATTACCGAAAACAGGATAAAAACGATTTTTAGTCAATTTTTTTCTTTTCAATCTACAAAAATTTACTCGAATAGTTGAATAATTAAGTATCTTGTATATTTACAGTGGAATTTGTCTTTATAGTTCACTTTTCTTGCTTCTTCAAAGTCCGGAATTGAACTTTTTATTGATCGATAGGTCCTGGTTTTCTATTGAATTAGAGTCGTTAGAAGCTGGTTTTAAAGCTCTTGGGGGCTGGTAGGGTAACCTAGGACGTCTACAAAAAATATTGTCTTATACAAATACTATTAATAATAGGTCTGTCCAAGATAAAATTCTCCTGTAAATGTTTCACAAGGTAGATTTTTCTCCTGTAAAAAAATTATTAATTATTCACATATTTCTCTCAATTTTATGCTGTTAAATTTTTATTTTGAACAATTTTTATTATAATTCATTATAAGGTTATTAAAATGAATTATCTGTCTTGGGCAGAACTGCTCGAGCAGAATATATGGTGCTCGTCTCTCTCTCCCTCTCAGTTAATTAGACCTATATGGCGAAAATGTAAATTGCTGATGTCAGAATTGCCCTTTTCGAAGCTGCCAATATTAATTGTCTCAAAAAAAATCGTCATTTTTTTTTGTTTTTTGGATAGGCTGCATCAATCCTGTACAATTTGGTCATTTACTTAATTGACATGTCAAATGAACCATTTATCAGTCAAAGTGATAATTTATGTAAAAAAAAGCAAAAAAAAATTAAAGGGTTTTTCTGTATTTAAGCAATTTTTAATATTTAAATAATTTTCAAAGTGAACAATATTTCTTATATTTATTTTAGTTAAAAAAAACCCTTAATGTATGCTAACTTTCATGTATTCTTACATCTTAATCAAAAAACAAAATTATTTATTTTTTTTAATAATTTGTTTAACAAAAACTGAAAGCCTACATTTAAATCAGAGAAATTATTAAAATTTTTTTTGTCAAGTGTATTTAAATTAAGGAAAGAGCGAAATGGCAATTTCAAAAATCAGTGCGGTTTTGATAAGAAATCCAGTTTAGGCATACTCAAGGAGTAATTCTTTGATATTAAAACTATATAAGATTTTGTGCAGAGCAGTTAAACATTGTCGAAGAAAATGGAGTAGAAATTTTAATGGTAGAATAATTATTGAATGAATTTTTACATTTTTAATATTTCAAAAATTATGGTAATCTTGTGCTGTATATCACTTGTTCCAAATCCAATTACTATAGTACAAACACAACAACATATTTTCCTTCATACATATAAGAATTTATATTTTTTTTATTCCTATTTTATTGAATTAGCGTAAAAGTATATGCAAAAACTATATTAATTTAAATAATTAAACTCTTTTTTATAAATTAAAAAAGATATGCAAAATTCATCTTACTATTTATTGAATTCACCATATGAAGCAAGAGAAGTATTTGATAAAGAATCACAGCAACAACAACAACAAGATGAAAATGATGAAAATAGTGATGAAAGTAAAATAATATTAGATATTGGAACAAATAATAATTCAAATAGTGTATGCGGAAATTCTAGACCAGAAACTGAATCAATAAGTTCACCATCATCTTCATCACCAAATTCTCAAAATGATAGTACTGCTGGTCATGTTACTAATGCAAATGGTTTATCTGAAAATATATTTCGTACTCCACCGTCAAGACCACAACCACTTCCAGCATTTACCTTAGCATCTGCAACATTAAATCAATCTTCAACTAATCATCATCTATCTCAACATATACCATTATCTACACAAACAAATCCACAATCATATTGGCATCAATCTTTGTTAACAGCACCACCAGTTACAGCTTATTATCGTGATGTTCCAGAGCATAGAATAATTCGTATACCAAATAATACAGTTAATCAGTGGCGTGACAAAATTTTAAAAACAGAAAAAGGTATTTACCTAAACATTTTGATTTATTTAAGAGTACCCTAATTCACTCTTTTCCATTCTTTTTCCTTTCCTTATAACAAATGTTTATTATCTGTTATGACTCTTATTGTTCATAACTCTTAATAATAATGAATGGTTGATCATTTTAAATAATCAATGAATTTAAAAATAAAGGAAATTATTACTTAATACATCTGGTAGACAGACATATCGGTACAACATGCGGAATAAAAAACATAATTCCAATATCGTATTATCAAAACAAATTTTTTGAAAGTTTAAAAACTTATGTTTCACATTATTGTGTTATTGATGTTCAACAGATCTTTTGTATAGATTTGATCCAGAAAGGAAAACAATTTTTAAATGCCAAATTCTTACCACACTTATAATAACAAATTTTGGATATATTTTTAGTATAGGCAAAAGATTATTTTTAAATTATTGCCATTTACTATTGTGTTTCTATTCTTTATTTATCTTTATACAAGTGCTGCGTTTCTTTTTTAATTATTCCAGATTTACTAAATATTAGAAAGTTATTTGACAATCATCTACGTAATTTATACGAGTATATAGAAGAAAATATTAAGTAAAGATTTATGATTTCATATAAAATAAAACCTAATTATAGTTTTTTTTTCTAAATATTTAATAAAACAATAATACGCAAATGGAAATTACGGCAATGCCATAAAAATATTCTTTAGATCTTTATTATAATTTCTAATTAATTAATTTTAATTATAGTTTTAATTGAGTCCTTGCACTTACATTTTAAATAATACAAAGTAGGAGTTTAGAAATCTATTCTTCTTAATGAGATTTGCGTTGTATATTCCCAAGAAGTTTAATTTCACACTTCATTTGCCATGTCAGAATATTAATAGATTATTGAATTCAGGACGTGTTTGAATTCAATAATCTATTGTCGCAGTTGGAATACGTAATTTAGTAAATATAACTGTTCAAATTACCTAAAATTTTAACTACAAGTAATTTTAACTATATTTAAAAGGAAAATTATGAAGTTTTAAAAGAATTCAATGCAAAGTTTGAATATTCGGAAAAATTTTTCCTTATAAATTCTATGTCTTGCCGACGGTGTATTCAACAAAATGTTTGATTTCTAAATACTCGTAAGTGTTGAAAATATTTTTGAACAATCTTGAATATCACATTTTTTTCAGATTATAAATCAAGGAAAATTTAAGTATTTTTAAGATTATTATTGTTATAAATTAAAGTAACTAAAATATTTTATATTAGAAATTTGCATTATTTTTCATTCCAATTGAATTTGTTTTTAATAACTTCTATTCAAAATTTAAATTCTTATACAAAAATGACCACTAAATTGAAGAGTAATGCTAGAAAAAGTAATATAATGGTGCTTGTATCACTTAAAAAGTTTCTTAATACAATATTATTTATTGTACACTATTCATTTATTGGAAACCCTTTACCACCCTTTTGAAAAAATTGTATGTCTTAAACATATACGTTAAGTTTTGTAGTACAAAAAAAATATCCAATACTTTGTATTATATAAAAGTGTGTGTTGACTTTAATCTATAGTTTGACACTATACCGAATTTTTCTGATAAATTTCGTACATTATTAATAAGAACAAATATGAATTGAATAATTATTATGAAGAATTTTTTAATAAAATAATCTGAGTTTAATAAATAAATAAGGTTATTTAAGGAAAATAAAGTATTTTTAAGAAAAGGAACATATTTTTTCTGCTCCTGGTTTGAGTGTTTCATAATAAAAATAAAAGGAAATCTTCAAACTCAAACTAACTTATGTATGCATTGTATTGAGTCATTGTTGAATTCTTGACCAAATTTTTTAAATTATCATGAATTTTGTTTTTTACTTACTTGTATATGCTTACTTTATGTGCGTGCAATAATAAGCATTTAGCAATAATTCATAAGTACAAGTACTTCCATCCTTTCTCAACAATAATTCTGTTAAAAAATCAAATTAAATTACGAAAAATATAGCCTCATCAAAAACTGAATCCATATATTAAAACCTTCCAATTTATACGAATTTTACGCAAACAATTTACAAAAAGTATAATGGTAAAAAACAGATAAATATTTTGAAAAGGTTAACGGGCTTAAAAAAAAATATTACTAGAATTTTTTTATATTATTAGCTTTTAATTGAAATTTAATTGAAAGATTTCATCAATCCAGATTTGAAAAAATCCGCCTGTGACAGAGAGAGAACAAGAATGCGTGATATGAATAAAGCATTTGATGCACTCCGTGCTAGACTACCAATGAAAAAACCATCTGGAAAGAAATATTCAAAAATTGAATGTTTAAGGTAAAAAAAAAAGAAATAAATTTGTTAATTAATTTTTTTAAATATTTAATTGAAATTTTTATTATTAGAATTGCTATACATTATATTCAACATCTTCAAAGAACATTAGATTGCCCAATAAATGAACCAGAATGTTGTCAGAATGGTACATGTACAAATTCTACAACTGCATCCTTAAATGATACAACAATATGTGAAAATGAAACTTGTGAAGAAATGCATTGTCAATCAGCAGAATCTTCTTATATTACAACACCATGTACTTACTATAACAAACAAAGTCCTTCGTATTCAGTTTTAGAACCTGTAATAGTTCATCCTGCACCATTAACACCTACTACTGTACCAACATCTTCTCCAACAAATTTAACAACATTAACATCAGTTACTTCAAGTTGTATAAGTGGTGGAGCTGTTAGTAGCATTGGCGATCCTTCTACGAGTGGTATATGGTCAACATATCATAATAGTTTTAATAATTATTATTATTATCCATAAATTACAAATGTATATATATATATATGTTATTCATATGAGTTGACATATATATTGTATTAATGTTAAATTTCATTAAATCTAATAGTGAAAATAAAACACATTTTAATAGATAAGTAGCCTTGCATTAAACAAAAAAAAAAGGAATGTCATTTGCAAAATGTGTTGGAATTGGTACATTTTGTAAATAACTCTAAAATGTAAATATATGCAAGGAATATTCGGCTTCCAACCAAAGATATAATCTTATAAATTTACGCACATTCAAATATGTAAATATAAAATAAAGCAATTCCAAAGGATTTCTTTTAAATTTTGTATTTCATTATTCTAGCTATAATTATTTTGCAAATTTTTCTAAAAATTCATATTTCATTTAATATACATACATGTTATTATATTAAAATTCGGTTTATATTTGTATAAATGTATATACCTTAATATTTACATATATATTTAAAAACTTATAATTAAAAATACATTTAAAAAATATTTAAAAATATATTCATAACTTTTATTGTGTAACTATTTGATTAAGTGAATTATTAATTTAAGTATGAAGCGAGAAGTCGGATGCCTGTACGACTATGTAGGTATAGACTACATATTACACGTTACATTATACGAAATCTGAATTGTTTGAGTTTACGAAACGAATAGTTTCGTAACGTTTTTGCTGTCAACCAAAGTTTAAAATTTTTAACGTCAGCTTAAGAAAATCAGCAAAATTTTTAAACGAGTTCAGCTTACCTATATGTATACTATTATATTTTATGTAATAATTGCTGAAACAATTTCCTTTTTGTACGCAAAATCTTTCATATACCTAAAACTAAACCAGTTAATCTTGGCGTTATTTATTTGATAGATTAATTATTTAGAATTACTTTAGTTTAAGTAGGGATAATATTTAAGCTTTCCTGCTGAAAATCGGTAAGTACTAATTGACATTGGTTTGTTATACTTCTAGGAAACTGTGAAAAATTGTCACCATAAAAGCAGTGTTGCCCAAATTAAACAATTTTCATTTAAATCTTGAATTTCTTATATATGATCCGGTCATATATTTTATTATCATATTTTATTATGTGATCTTGTTATTGCAATGGTTTGTGTAACGTAAAATTATGCATTCGTAAAACATTTGTAAAGTGGTGTTATTAAAATTTCACCTTGTTTAATGTGAATAATTAAAAAAATCTATGTACATAATGTAATTTTAAAAAAGTGTACCTAGCGACGATTTAATAAATCACTTACGAATGTTAATTTATATACATAGATATATACATATTATTTATACATATTAATTTACTTGAATTTCCATTTTATTCTTATTTTTTTAATAAATTTTATTTATTAAAACGTTATTTTTAACGATACTTTTTACTTTCTTTTCAATTTTAAAACCATGCATGTATGTATTTCAAATATTGAAATTTCCATCTATCGTTGAATATTACAAACTTTCAACTTTTTATAAGAAATACAAATTTGGAAAAACTGTCACTAACCACTTATAAAAAAAGTGAGTGTGTCATTTTCAATTAAGGAAAAACAGAAATTAATTTTGACATAAAACATGTAAGATCTTGTAATTGTAAGAATTTTTTTTGGATTTTTTTTTGAATTAAACAAATTCAGGTCTGATAACTTTGAATTCAATGAAATTCAATATTTCAGCTAAAAAACGAAAATGCCCAAACTCGTAATAATTTTTTCAAAAGATAATATTGCATATTTTCAATAAGGACTAAATTTCAGAATGAAGATATGGTTCTTCCAGTGGTTAATTGAAATCAGTTTAACTTAATCACAAGATTAATATTTCTTTTCAAAAATTTTTCCATTAATTTCTGCTACGTTTTGAACCGCAATTTTGTGACGGAATTTGAGTTTTTTTGGCAAATAAACTTGATGGTAAGTAATTTATTATAAATATAACACATTTCCACACATTAGCAAAAACACTATAATTTACAATTTTTATTATTTTCTATTTCATAAAAAAAAATGAGGTATACGCATGAGGTAAGTTTTCAATTTTCTCAAAATTTACATTTTTTTATGGTGAAAACAAATCATTTGCCCCTTTTTAGCACAAAAAAACACATTTTATCCAACATCAGTGTTGTAAAAGAATTAATTATATTGAGGAGGATAAGTTTGAAATGACATCATTGTTAATTGAAATTATTCAATGATGTAAATTGGGTCTAATTGACGTTATAAAACTTCAACCCTGATCGAATAAAATTCGAGTCTCGATATTCAAACGAATCGATTATTAAATGCAACTATAATTGACAGCTATAAAAAATTTTGTTTTTGTGTAATAGGAGAATTTTATTCATTCATAATTTTGGATTGAAATAAAATTTTAATAAGAAAAAATTTATTGACTGAAGTTTAAAACATCTTTTAGACAAAGCATGTTTTAGTGATGAATAAAAAAACTAAAAATTAAAAGCAGTCATAGTTATTAAATTATTTTTTCAAGTTATTGTGCAAATTTATTAACAAGTTCATTGAAAAACAAACAAAAAAGGAAATGTATAGGGGTCTAGTGTTTGACTACCGAATACCGATTTTTTTAATGGTGACGTTTTTGCAATGAAAAGAGATCTTGTGCCAAAAAAAAGCATATTTTAAGTGGATTTAATTTTTGAATTTTATACTATGAAATTTATCAAAATTTAAAAACGTTTAATTTTTTTTTTTGTTTTAGATTTGATAATTGCTGGAATTTTTTCATTTAATACATAATTCTGTATGTATGTACATACCTACCGTCATATTAAACATACCAACTAGTTAATATAAATATAAAATGAAAAGAAGAAGAATGAGAATAAATACTTACATATTTTATAAGAAATTTGATTGCGCTTGTGAACTCTCTCATCATCAATTTAAAAAAAAAATTTTTATATGAATTAAAAGAGATCTAATCCACATTTTTTATATGAAAATTTTACAAGTACAATTACCTATCTACCTATAAAAAAAGAGAATAAAATAAATACAATATAATTTGTTTGATAAAATATCTCCTATGTACATCCAAATGAAATGAAAGTGGAATAAATGGTAGAGTAGAGACTGGTTAGTGATTATTGTTGTTTTAGCAGAAAGCAACTTTTCAAATTTAAAATTTTTTCATTCTCCCAGAGAATTTAGTTGAGTTAACATCACTCGTGTCGCGTATACATGTTTGTGGCAAAAGAATAAATTCTCCATTTGACAGATAAGTCAAGTAGGAAGAGGAAAAAAATAAAATGTATAAAATTTGTAACAAAGAAATTTTTTATTTATTATAAAAGAAAATTATAATTAAAGATTTATTAAATTAATTGAAATAATAAGAATACCAAAATTTTAAAAAGTAAAAAGTGTAAAATTAAAATTTAATTATTGTGGAAAAAAAAATTAAAGTTTATTGGCTACTGGGCGGTGGCGCCCAAAGCCGAAAAAATATTTTTTTATTTTTTTTGTTTATTTTTTTTTTTTTTTTGTAATTTCTAATCTAATAGAATATTATCACTTAAATATTAAACAAGGTTTTATTATACAAGGTTTCAAAAATGAATATAAGAGTTGCTAATAGCTTTTATAAATTTATTTTGTTAATCCTACATAGCAATATAATTTTTCTTTAACATTCATTGTTGCATATATATATGTATGTATGTATTTGTATCCCGATTTGAATTAAGAAGAAAAAAATAAGTAAAAAAATGTCTTCAAAAATTGTGTGTATTTTGTGGTAAAAAAAATATTCTTTAAATTAAATGAAGAAAAAAATAATTGTGCATTCTTAAATATATAATACATACCTAGCTACCCACTTATAAGTAGAAGTTGTACATACTCAATTAATTCGCAACCTATCCCTCATCTAAAAGAAGTGTCTGAACAATTTTGAAAAATGTTGAGCTTTTTTGAAAAAAACAACAAAAAAACTAAAAATGTAACCAATAATACAAACTTATTTTTTTTTTAAATTTTAATATTTTTGACATTTGTTTTTATTAAAGCAATTTCTTTTCTACATTAATTGTATGAAATATCTACCTATACCTACATATATGGTGAACAAATAGCTATTCATATTATTATAATATAAATTTAAATACATAATATAAATAAAATTAAGTATAAAATTAAATTAAGATTTAAACATATTCTCATTTAATTGTGAAAAGTGATTAATAAAAAAAAAAATAAATCAACTTTTAAAAGGAAAAGTGTTAAATTTTAAATCGCATGAATGGTTAAACCACTGTCTAGCGAAATGACTGAAAAATCCACCAAAATGGATAAAATGGGCAGCGGTGGCTCAGGTGGTGGTACAAAACCTGTACCGATGCGGCTTTTTGCAGCATGGGAAGTCGATAGAACACCGCCTAATTGTATACCAAGGTAAGTAAGTAATCCTTTTATGCAAATATCAAACTGAATTTTTTCATACGAGTAGACAATTATAATTACCTACCTACTAAGAAATTTTGAAATATTAATAAAATACAATAAATTTATTAAAACTATTAATAATAATTTATTAAAATATTTAATTTAATATCAAGTAATTCGTAGTAATAACTAAAAGTATCTAAGTAGGTAGATAGGTACTTGTTGTTTAAATTTAAATTTATTATTGCAACATTATGTAATTTAGAAATTAAACGATTTCATTATAATATGCGTATACTTTGGGAAATAAATTTAAAATGTCTCTTCATGTTTTCATATTGAACAATATTATTAGTATATTTGGGTTGGGATTCTATTTCTTGATAATTAATATACATATAATAGATAAATGCATAAGTAATTTGTGCCAAATTTAAAAAAATCAAACATTTTTGATTAAAAATTTAGACAAAAATTTATTATTAAGATTTATGAAATTTAAATTTTTGACATTTGCAAATGAAATAAGAAAATAAGGTAAGTGTCCCTATTACTGACATATTTCGCAACAAATTCAACTTTGGCGTGACATATTTTATATGTGGGACACAATAAATGATCGTGTTTCCAATTTTTTGAATAATTTGGATAATTGAGAATAATGTTTTTTATAAAATTATTTAATCAAAATATTTTTTAATTCATAATTTTTCGATTATAGACGAAAAGAAAAAATGTTCCTAATATTGACATAACCGCAAATGTTTGTGTCTATTACTGACAGTTTGTGTTCTTAATACTGACAATGTAATTTTATATGCTGTAAT